TGTCGAGAAATTGCTTTTGCTTTGGATAACTGAAAAACAGTGTGTCGGCGACAGCGTATCGGAAGAAATTATTTGCGAGAAAGTTAAAAGGATACATGCTGATCTCATGAAAAATCAAGCAGAAACTAGCGAGGAAAGCCAGGTGTTTAAAGCCAGGCATTTTTTTTTACATTACATTACATAACCATTTTTACATTACTTCTTATGGAAAAGGTTGGTTTGGTATACGTCCTATTCGGTATAAGTCCAAACACCAGGAACGGATTAAGGTCGTATACCGAGGTTCCACTGTATTTGAAATTGACAGGTATCGGCACCCTGGGGATTTGGCAGTCCGCCTGTATGCACTCTCTGCAACCGTCTTCGATTCCATCCATTAGTCACTCGTAGGGAGCTATTTGACTATGCATTGTTTTAAGATTTAAAAAGTAAAGAATATTTTATATTTTTATGTACGTTTCTTTGCAAAGCTATATTTAATTATAATTTTCTTTAAAAGTATATTCATATAACTGAAGAATATTTTGTATGTACCGGTACATCCACCACATATTTCATTTCATCAAGTAAGTTTTTATTATTTTATTTTTAATTGTAGCCCTTATATCGTGGCTAGCGATTCGGAATGTAATTGTGATATTAAAAATGCATTTAGAGAAGTCACGGTTTTTACTGGCTTATCGAATAAACGATACCAATGGGCCCTAGACCATCACTGACGCGCAATTGACTGATTGCCCCTCGATGTCGGCTTCTTACAGAAACACAGCTTCCCTATCATCAAATGTCACGGCACGCCCCTGGTCATAAGTTAGTACTAATTAAAACATTTTCATATTTGCATGTTTTGTAGATAAATATATATTTAAAGCCGAATTTGAATTGTTATCTGTTTAAAATATCATATCTTAGATATTTTAAAATGTAATTTCATTGAAATTGTTATTGTCCCAAACTCTCATAATTTTTTTAATCTTATATCAGAAATGAACAAAATACTGTCCAAAGGTCATTTTATGTCCTCAAGTTGCTCATATAAAGTAAGTTTAATTTTCAATTAAATTCCATAACGCATATTTTAATAAGTATATTTATAATGATTTAATAGAAACTGTTGGAGTTAGTGGATTATATATTTTAAATTACACATTAGTGGATACTATTAATAATTAATAAAAAATAATTTGTTGTTAGACTAGAGATAATAATTATTTTACTGGATAAATTACGTGTACATGCAACAGAATTCGCTTATTGTAATCACTTTCGGAATTGCTTACGCTGATTCTAATAATAGGCTTCTTATACTGATAAAAACCGACTATTAACATTGTGTACAGTAAATAAGATTGCAATTAGTAGAAATTCTGGTTTTATTAACTCTGGTTAAAATTCTAATTCTAAACAACAGGGTGTTCTCTCAAACCTCCGTAGTTTTAACTTGCTCTGTATACTCCATGTGTGCAGATAACTGATATACGTCAAAAATGCTGGCAAATTTCATATATTAATACGTACATTGGAAACTGCTGATGTATATATCTATATAGGTCGAGATAACTACATTCTTTGGCTTTTCCATTAACCGACATTACCCTCTTTGTACGTTTTGAGATATGTGAAGAATCGCGGGTATGCTACAAAAGTATCGGCCAACAAAAATCGAGAATGCCACTAGCATGTTTGAATACTAACTTGTTGGCTTGGATATGGACCTAAATCAAGTGCAGAGTACGTGCCACGTGTGGAAATGTGCTCATTTAATGCAAGTTACCATTTTCTGCAGTATTGTAATCATGTATTTTTTCAAAATTAATCTACAGAACTAGGAATGTTTGAGAGAAATAGCCTGTACATTAATAATAAAAGTTTTTTTAAATTGTTTTCTGTATTTTTTTAAATTGTTTAAATGTTTTGGGGGAATAATTTACCATGATTACATTAAGTAACGTACAGTATATTTTAATTAAAAATAAATAAACATTGCTGTTTTATATTTTCGATTTTTTATTTTATTGGGTAGCTATTCTTAAAAATATTCTTATATTTGACGTTGTTATTTTATTTCGTTACTGTTATTAAAAATAATAATAAATGATTTATTTTAACCGCTACTGTTGAAAGTCACATTTGTGAGAATTACTGACAATATGACATCTTGGTATTAAAATTTTGTATTATTACGTAATTGTATTAGTGTTGCCACCTTTTCAAAATCGCTGACCTGGACGGCAGGTCAGGTTTGTACGAACAGAAGTTCCTGACGCATGCGTAATGTCATTTTGCTATCCGAAGAATAACGTGCATGTCGGTTCTAAATCACTTATAGTTAGGGACTAGGGAGACTTGGGTAGGAGTAACGTAAGTAACCTAAATTAAGAAAGAAGGAGTACAGAAGATGACTTGGGTATATTCGATATTGGAGATGTATACGATTCGTACAATTAAAACCTAAATGAAAAAAAAAAATTGGCAGGTTGCTCACGAAACTCCCAGACAAAATTAATAGTTTACCCGGACAGTGAGTCAATTCCTGGACTGTCCGGGTTAAAACCGGACGGGTGGTAACACTGAATTATATATATTTATTTGTGAAATTCACGAAATTAATAGCGAAAAAATTTTGGAGGAATTGTAAATTTAAGAGAAATACATTGACTATTTACACAATTAAATGAGAATGAAAATTTTTCATGGAAACGAAAGTTTCTATAGTCTGTTTATGGTAATAATCAACTTGAATATTAACCAATGAGCATCAGCCATTGATCGATAAGTTATGGCAAGTTACTTCCGATTTCTTCCTCATTTGTTAACAATTAAATCGGGACCAGTTTTTCCATAGAAATTGCTCTCTGGAGTCATCTCCCCGCGGCAGATCAAATTAAACCAAACCTATATATCGATTGCAAACTTTTACGTTTCGTTATAGCATTACCTTTAAACTGTGTAATGTATATAATGACATTTTTATTTTTCCTTTTAGAATATAAGGAAGTTAATACTTACAATCATCTGCCTGCTAGTCGTTTCATTATTATTATTGTCGTTTTACAGTTTGAAATCATTCAAATTGCCTCTTTATTTTTCAGGTAATAAATAATTTTATATTGCTATAATAATTGTTATCATGGTCTTATTGTAACCAATAAAATTCTGAACAATTAGAATGCATTACTAGCATAACAACTCGTAGAATTGCAAAAATATGGTAATTGGATGAAATTTAGTCGTGGTTTAATCAAATACTGTACAAACCAATACACGAAACTCTTCCATTGGTCGCTTAAAAGCGACATCACTGTGTCATCTCCCAGTCTGGTTTAGTGCAATCTCTGAGACATGTGCTTTTCTTTTTGTGGTTTACGAGGAATATGATATCTTGTGTGCTTCTTTTCTACTTGGAATTCAGAGAGGATTTACCACTCTGCAAACTGTGAATGAAATAGCATCATTTTTTTAGATACGTGAGGTTTTGAACAAGTAGCAGAGAACACTAAGCATGCCTGTATTTGATGGCTGGAAAACATAAGTTGCATAACATAAGTTGGAAAACATAAGTGCACTAAATAAGTGCCATGCATTTATTGTGGCGAGAATTAGAGGAAAAAATATTTTTTTAAATTTCTCTCAAGAGACAACTTACTCAGAACTGCATAGATAACTTGTTCTCTGTTGTTCGCTTTAGAGATGGTAACAATTACAATCGTGATGCAAGTGAATTTCGGACGGTCATGAAAACCATTATGATGAACTACAGCCATCGCATGTAGGCAGATGTGAGATAGATCTCGATAACTTCATGGAATGCAAACATCGGGTGGAGCGAATAAAGTCGTGTTTGATAGTGAACTCACCACGAGCAATAAAGAATCCATGGAAATTTTTCAGGATTTATCCTTAAATTATCAAAATACAAGATGCTGTGTTGATTTGAACTGTTAGCAGAGTACCTCGTGCACAATCAGAGAACATTGCCACCCAAAAACCTTTGAATGATCCTGGAGATATTCTCCTGAAAATGAAGCACTGTGAAAATGCTACAATCTTAGGCCCTTATGAACTAGCAGGAAATTTTATGTATCACCTGTGTGATGTTTTCACATAAAAATTTAATGATATCATTATACAGGATAAACAAAATGTAAAGGCACAGCTAGTAGATTACAATATTAATGTCTTCCGAATCATGTAGAAGTTTGCGACTAATGTGTAATGGCGTTCACTTATTAATGGCAAGATAAAAACTGCAAATGAACTCTTACGAAAGTTCCATGGAAACAAAACAAAAAGGCCAGAAACGGTTTACATACCTGAACAAACGAGAATCGTGTACCATATTTATTTTGTTGTATTACTGTATTAAATAATAATGTAATGTTTACAGTTTATTAATATTACATAAAAATGCTGTTGTGCTGCAGTGATCTGTTACACAAAACTTTCTACAAAGTGTACTGTAGAGTCAAAATGATCAAACTACACAAACCTTAACATTGTGAAGTGTCAATAATCTTGAGATGTAAAAAGTGGGTAACAAATAGCATTAATTTGGCATCTTTTTCAGGCACATTTAGCAATTAATTAGTAGATAAAAAGTTCCTGTGTTTGACATTATGTTACATCAATTTACTGTTACTTATAGATGCATTATAGATTAATATATTATATTAATATATACATTATTTATTATAAATACATATATATATAATATAATATATANGGCCGTAGTCATGGCAACCTTGAAAGACAATAATTTCAAAATGGAATGCATTGGTAGAATCACTATAATTTAAATTCTGTCAAACGAATTTTAATAAAGTTTTTACCACAGTTTACTGAAAGTGTCTTCTCAGTGGGGGTGAAATATCTAATTCTAAAGTTCAGCCGGAAGCTCGTAATTCAAATTCGATTTCCGACCGGAAGTTTATCGAAAATTACAGTTTTAAGGCCAGAAAATGACCCCAAAACCTCAAAAGTTTTTCAATTTTCCTTTCGATATACCGGCAGATATATCACCGTAATGAAGTCCGATTTATCGTTCACTTTCGTTTGGTGGATCGGTCAGGGCCATTCTTACTCTATTATTTAAAGTTTTCAAAAAAAAATATTAGGCCTACTTGATTGCTTTCTTATCCTATAGTCTTCCAATAACTAATGACACACAAAATATCACTATTTACAATAGATATCCACAAAAGGACACAAAAATCTTAGGAGCTCGAATTGCAACATCCTTCCACATTCGATTCTCGAGCGTCCGGTACTTGGCCGTCTGAGGAGGCCGATATAAAAACGGATATTTTTCAGCCATTCCGGGCAGTTCTACGAAGTCCAGATCTTAGAGGACAGAATTAGCCATACGATACAACGCAGTTCGTCGGAAGAAGTACTTGCCACACAAAATACGATAAAGGCTGTTCCAAGTTAAGAAAACCGCCACATAGATATCGACCATATTGTAATAGCGCATCCATAGAAGTTACGATTAATAAACGTCTCCCTGATCCTGAACGAGAAGACAGCGTTCAACTACAAAATACTTACGGAACTGTGAAGGTAGTATAATTTGTTTAGATCGATGTAAACTCTCTCTCTCACGCATATAGATTTAAGTTAGATAGTGGAATTTTCTCACTGCGAGATAAGTTCAGAATATATTATTTGTAATCCCATTAATTGTATTATTATTTTGTTGATTCAATTAAATATTTTCGTTATGTTATTAAATTAACCATTACGAGGCCCCGGGCGGCAGATCTTTGCGAGGCCCTTCTCCTTTGTCAAAGTATGTGAATTGAAAGTGGTATTTCTGATGATTGACAAGAAATGCAAAAATTATAAATGAATAATTTTAGAGTTTTAAAATATTATATTTATAAAAGTTAACAAACATAAGGACGACAAATTATTATTATTTTTTTACTCTTTCCACTTTGTGAGCACTAACAGGGCAAACCCTAATGGTTCTGCTATAAGAGTATAGCAGGCCCATTAGAGTTCGGCCAGGCACACAATCGGGAGACAGGGTGGTGAGGGACTGGACCCGACATATCCGAACGGACCACCCCCCGAAAATTTCCTAAGGATTCCTTGACCCATCCGGATTCGATCCTGGGTCCTCCGGTAGGCTGCCATCTTGACCGCTCGGCCATCCGGTCTACGACGACAAATTATTAATGATGATAAACTAAGGTACAATACATAAATGCCTTAAAAGATATACACGGGATTTAAAAATGAACCATTTCAACATACAATCTTTGTGCAGTCAGCTAAATTCATAAGACTTTAGGTAATCACGCAAGTGTTTCCAATCACACACTCCTTCATTGGATCCAATTCTTGTATTTTCTAGTCCGAACGTTCGGACTAGAAAATACAGTACTAGTTCGGACTAGAAAATACACACGGAAAGCAGTAAACGGCATTCTTTGTTTGTGAATAAATCATCCAGCACTTGTCAAGTTTTTCACCATTAGCTAATATTTTACTATAATGATATTCGCTGAATCGCCGTCAATTATCATTTACAGGGAAAAAATCAACTTTAACCCGAATTGGACCTTTTAATACAATCTCAGTTTGGTCTACCTCAGTAATTGCTAATGGCCACAAACCTGGGTCATTTTGAGGATTCAGATTTTCAATTCTGCCAGTCATGAATGTAGACATACACTACATAGACTCAGATACGTATTCTTGGCTGGATAGGGTTGACAGCGGCGGTGGCGGTGGTGTAAGAGACAATGATGATGTTGACTCATTATCCTCGCTATTATTACTAGGTGGCAGCAGCACCCATGACGATGTTGAAAGAATAATTTCAGCTGGGTTAGGGTTACAGTGCAGTAATGTGTCACTTTCAGTCAATGGAGGGTTTCTAGAGGTTTCTTGACCACCACTTTTTATATATTTATATAAAGACCCACGTAGATTTTCTTCTACCTGCTTTTTTTTGATAGCTTGTTTCCTTTTTGAACTACTCGACTCAAATTTTCTACCGGCATCACGATCAAGCGAACTCATTTCATAAATCTTGTTTCTCACATAAAACTAATTCAGAAATAATTTACAAGCAGTTTTACACAGTTTTTTTTTTAACAATTCACTCTTTACCATAAGTATTGTTAATAATGTAAGATTCACTAAAACTTCATATCATTTAATGTTTATTTACTTACTGAAAGATATGTGCCATACAAACGATTATGTAACGCATACAGCTGCTAGCAAAATAAGCGTCAGGTGACAAGAATTGACAAACGAATTGAAACACGGGGATACTCCGAGCATAAATCGTAAACACCATGAATCACGAAAGTAACAAAACCGCGCGTTCAAATGAGTTTTCTAAGCGCGAGGCGCAGGATTCAAATAGTAATAAATTTTTCAAATATGCTTTACAGTCAAATTACAAAAAATATTATTATTCACTGATAAATTAATTAATTAATTTTGATATCGTTAATCGTACTTTTTATACGAATGTGAGATTGAAGAAATCTAAATGAGAAATTTTATTTAGGCACTTATTAATAATAATATATACTGTACTATGAATTAATCAAATTTATTTTATTGTTATAACTAATAGCTAATTTATTTTATTGTTATAACTAATAGCTAAGGATAAAATAAAAAGTTTTAAATATCAACTTTTTTCTACTCGGGTTGTTGCGCGAGGCCCCTGCAAGGGCGAGACTCCGGGAGATTGCCCTGCTCGCCACCCCCTAAGGCCGCCTCTGGTGGTATCGAATCATAACGATATTCTATATCCCCGGCTGATCTCACAGGCCTACTTCTTCGCTGTAAATTCAAATTGTTCTGCACGCTTAAACTATTGTTTATTCTTGTCTTATCCAACAGTTCCTCTTACGGCTCATATTCTTACCCTTCCACTTTCAAACCTCCAACTATCCCACCTTTCCAACTTTTCCTCAAATCACTTTCCCTTCTTTCCTTCACCCATCTTTCTTATCTTTTAAGGCTACACCTTTGAGTACAGCCTTTTTTCTTTCACACGTGTGTGTGTCCCCTACTTAGCTGTTATACAAAAGAGAATCCGTTAAACTCCACGTGGCCAGTCCAT